CCCTGCAGCCGGGCTCACAATCAGCTTTTTCGCCCTGTTGATTATGCAGCCCCAGGAGTCACCTTGTCTTCTGAAAAAGTCAGAAGAATAGGCCGGTCCTCTCCTCTGAAGAGAGAGAGTTTCAGGGCGACCTCAGCTCTGCAGGGTTTGGGGAGCCCTAGCCCGACACCCTGCCCAATGGTTTTTCAAGAGAAAATCGCAGGCCTCCCTGTGTCCCCAGGAATATGGAAATGGCGCGGCGCGGGCCTCCCCAAGTCTGGTTGCGGGGCTGCCCGGGAACGGGAACCGCACACCGGGGAGCCCCTGGGCGTTTCTCCTCAACGGGGTGCCGCTCGAGGAGCCCCACGGCTGGGGAGCCAAACACTGGGGGCTAGAAGGCTGGTGCTAGAGTCGCCGCCTGTTCCCCGCATCCCTCCCGCCCTTGGCCCCTGCAGGGTCTACGGTTTTCTTTGCTTACTTCGTCTTCAATAAAATTAGGGGTTTCTCCTTTTCGGAGCTGGGTTTTCGGTGGCCAGTGGTTTCTTGGGTGTCTGGAGTCCTTCCAGTTTGGGGGGCGGCCCGCCGGGCAGATGGAGGTTTGGGTATTTAGAAAATGCCTCGGGCGTTGAATCCCAGAAGTAGCTGCGTGTCTGCAGGGTCCTCGAGCCTCCACTGGGCCGCGTCTTGGGCCGAGCGGAGGCAATGCAATGCGCCTTGGAGGAGAGGGAGGACTTCCGGCGAGTGCCAGCCTGGGATGGGGTTAGCTCGCAGGCCTGGGCTGGGGCACGGAAGTGGAGCGAGGCCGCGGCTAGGACACCTCCGTGCTGGGGCTGGGAGGGCATTTGCCACCTGCGCTCCGCTGCAGTTAGGAACCAGGAGGCCCTGGATCCCTGGCAATAGAAACCATGGGATCACTGAGTTGGGTCTATGCAGTCCGCGCCCCCAGAGGCAGCGCCCCACGGGGGACAGGGTGAGTTCCTTCCTTTATCCCTCGGTGCCGGGAGGAATCCGTTCCTGGGACTTGGCGATGAGGAGCGAACAGCCCAGTCAACCCCCGAGGACGCCTAAGAGGGCACTGGGGAGAGGCTGTGGAGGGGGGCCTCCTCGCCTCGCGGTGCCAGGGCCTGAACTGTTCCCTGGTCCGGGTGCGGGGCCTGCGCCGAGGCCTCCTAGTTTGCAGAGCGCGCGGAGCCGCTCATTCCCCATGAAGTGCGCGAGTCTTGGGGCGCGGGAGGTGGGAGCGGGCAGGGGGTCGCCGCGCGCGCGGTTTCAAAACGGACGGGGTCCTTCAGCGCACCTTTCCCCCTCCGGCCCCCTCCACCGACCCCCACCCCCTGCAACTAGCTGCCAGCTCGGCAGAAGCCTAGAAGCGCGCTTAGCAAAGCGCCCAAAGTGAAAGGAATGTGATTGCGCTCCCGGGAGAGAGCCGGGCGCGGATGCAGCTTAGAAAGGGCGCCGCCTACCGGTTCCCGAGCGCCGCGCGGTTAGCAGAGGAGGAATTAGGCGGCGCCAGGCTCTGCCCCCAGCACCCACAGCTGTGCCTTAGCTCTGAACCCCAAGCGGGTCCAACGTTAACCGCTCCACCACCTCATTCGCTTCTGCCCGGGACCCAGGACCCACTTAAAATTAGGGATTTGGAGAGCAGGACCTGCAACTAGAACTACTTTAATGCTACAGATTCCCACCATGATTTAGGCACAGTCTGGAAAACCAGGCGGGAAGCTAAAGAGAAATAGGCCCGCGGCTGACATAGCCTGAGGGTGGGGGCTGGGGCTGTGCGCATCCTTGCCAGTCGGGGTCCCGGGGCTCCCACGCCCCTTCAGGTGCCTGCACTGGAGGTTCTGCTGGCCCGGGTTCTGGACCCCGCACAGTTTTGTCTAATTTGCGGTTCAGCATATCTGAGGTCTACCGTGCAACCTTGCCCCTCAGGCCGGTTCTGACTTTTGGACTGTGGGTTGGACATCTGTAGGAAAAGGAAAAACAAAACAAAACAAAACAAACTTGCCCTCCGATGCGTCAACCCCTCCTATTTCGGAGGAACCTTGAACGAGGTCGACGTGGCAAGGCAGGAGGTGCTTCTGTGGGCGTTCCCAGCGCCCCTCCCAAAGCGCTAACGGGTAGAATCCACTGCACCCCCTACCCCCCCACCCCCGCTCCCTGCAGGGATATTGGGGTAAATCGCGGACGCGCCTTCTGCTCGGCTCTTCGCATCCCTCCCCACTCGGCCACCGGCCACCAAACAGGAGTCACACCAAAATCGGGCCTGCCTAGCTCCTGGCCGCCTGCACTGCCCCAGACTAGCTAAGGCCGCGGGACTGTCCCTAGCCCCACCCCGCGGGTCTCCCTCTGTGACCGGGCGGGAGCGGGTCTCCTTTTCGTTTGAGCGCGAAATGCGACTTGGGTCCGGGCACAAGGCGTGGCCCAGGTTGTGGACGAACAGGGGCTGGCCTCTGAGGCCGTGCTGCCGCTCTGGCTGCACCCCTGGCTCTGGCCTGTCCCTCGGGGCTATTGGGGTCTCCGGCCTCCTGGCGACCGCAGGCCCCCTAGGTCCC